ACGGAGGCCGCGCTGCGGGCGCCACGGAGCATGCGCGCTGCCGGACGTCCTCTGCGCACGCCCGGGATCGCGCCGCCCGGATTTCCCGGCGGCCCGTGGGGCGGAGCTACCGCACGGCCAGGGGGCGGAGCCCGGCAGAGGCCCGTCCCACGCAGGGCGGAGCAGGATGGCAGGTGGCGTGGTGAATAAGTGCGTGGACGCCCACGCGGGGGATAGAGGTTCGCGTCTCGGACCTGGCGGTTTGCGCTCACTGGGCCTCGCTGGTGTGCGGATGGTACGCCGCGACGGGACGCGCATTCGTGAGGAGGGCAGGGGTCTCGGCGGCCAGGACACCCTAACTCCAAGCGCTCCAATCTCGCGTCTCCGTGGCCCTCGGGAAGCCTGGCTCGGGAGGCTGGGCGTCCGGCAACGACGGGGCAGCTTGCCCAGGGCCGCGGGTACCCCGCCGAGCGCGCCGTGCAGCGGCTATGCCTGCAAACTCAAAGGAAGCCGAACCTCCACCGGTCATACTGTCAAAAAAAGGCTAAGCTCCAGACCTAAATGGACTTTTTTGGAGCAGTATTTTTTAAATGATCAAACATTAAATCTCCTTTTACATTTATCTGGTGGACAGTGTCCCTATTCCACGTGTGCGCCTCCCATAGCCACGTGGCTACCCCACTGTCCAAGCTGAGGCCCTTAGAACTGTGCCAGAAACAATTTTTAATTACTCCGAAAAAAGCTGTCTATACTGTGAAGTCACAACCTTCCCTCATTTGTAGTTTACTTAAAATTACTAAATTTCATTTATCTTACTATTATTTAACTTGCTATAGGGCATGTGTGCTCACCAGAGACAGAGAAGATGAGAAAGCAGGCCACCAGATCTGGGACCATGTGGGAATCCAGCACCTTAACCACGCCACCTGCTGGCTTCCAAGCCAGTAACATTAAAAATCCTAGTTTGGGAGCCCACAACGGGTGTGATAGTTGGGGTCTTTGACCCCCACAAGGCTGATTAGTTTGAATCCGGCACCTGGTGGCTTGTATTCTCACCTTCCCTCTCTGGTCAAATCAAAAAATAATATTAAATAAGGTAATTCTTAAAAAAAAAAAAAAAAGTTAAAAGAATCAGTTTGGGCATAGCTATCGTCCCCTGGGAGGTAATGTCTGTTGCCACCCCCTCCCTATGACAAATGCACATTCCCTACGGCAAAGCCTGAAGACCCCAAGGTGAGGAGAGAAGGGACTGCAGGGACCAGCAGTTAGCATAGAGGCTGCATCGCTGGACTCCCACGTAGCTGACTGAGGTTGGAGTCCCGGACCTGGTGGGTCAAACTCACACAGGGTGGGGACCAGCAGGTGGCATGGTGGTTGAGGTGCTGGAATTCCCACATGGCCAACCATGGTTTGAGTCCTGGACCTGGTGGCTTGCTTTCTCACTCTCCTTCCCTCTCTCTTTCTCTGGCAAAACTCATGTTTAAATAATAAACAAATTTAAAAAAAAAAAAGCTCACACAGGATACGTGTGTGTGTGCCCAAGATCCCAAGAGAATGGAGAAGGGACTGTGGCATGGCCAACCCCTTCGGTGGGGTGGGGGGGATTTCTCTTTCTCTCTGGTGAGCGCACGCACCCTATAGGGAAATACTTCTCCAAAAAAGGAGAAGGGACTAGTGCAGCCATCTCCCGGGGGTGGCTTTTCCCTTTCTGTCTCTCCTCCCAATCCTGCCCTAGGGCCAACACCTTACAAACTCAGTATGTGTCTAGATATCCCCACACTGTTAGGGTACTGAAAGACCCATCCCACTTCTCTTGTAGTATACAGCTGTTTTTAAAATGTTAAAAAAAAAAAGGTTCCCCAAACAAAAACACCCGCAATAAACACCAGTGATTCTTGTTTCCTCTTTAAAAAGACGAGAAGGGCCCTTTGGAGCAGCCACACCGACAGCCTGGCACACAGCAGCAGAAGACCCTTCCCAGCACCCACTGTCGCTTGGCCTGCAGCCACAGGGGAGGCACTCCCTTAGCAAGCAGGGAGCGTGCAGAAAATGAGCGGCCTGTTATATAAAACTACATTTATTCAAAGTGTTAAAAGATTTCACTTTCCCCTTCAAAATACTTTACAATTAAAAAAAAAATCAAAACTATTTTGTTTTCTCAGCTGCTGCTTCCTTTCCTTGGGACCAGCCTGTGTCCCTCACAGCCTCCCTCCTGACCCTCCCCTCAGTACTGGTTCATGGAAAGCCCCCCTCCTCCCCATGCCCTGCTGTCTGCTCTCTTCTGCTTTGGGGCCTTTGGCTGCGGATGAAGCCCAATGGAGGGTGACAAGTGGGCCATGAATAGCGGCTAGTCGACCTTCTTCCTGGTCGAGTGGAGGGTCCTTGTCCTGTCCGACAGCTATTCAGAGCCCAGCCAGAGCTGCGACGCCTGCTCTCGACTGCCCGGCTCAGGTCCATGCCAACTGTGCCTGGAGACTGCCGCAGGCCTGCCTGTGGACCACCAGGGCCGGGACAGTGGCCGTGCCGAGGGGCGCAGCCCTAGCTTGCCAGACTCAGCGCCAAACCCCCAGGAAAGCAAGTCTTGGTGTTTGTGAAGCAAAGCCAGGGTCAGCCGGGACCATGGGAGGTAGAGTCGTGGGAGGTGTAACGGCACAGCTCGGGGTGAGCCTTGTTCTGGACAAACCCTGCCTTCCTCCAGCCCATCATTGAGGCCTCAGGATGACTCCAAAAGGCGAAGAGGGAGAGGACTCTGTTCCGCTGACCGCAGCAAGGCAGGAAGTGAGGGCTCAGGGCTGGGAGAGGCTGCCGGAGCCTGCAGTCGCCATGGCTTCCTGCTCTGCACAGGACCAGAGCCAGGAGCAGGCCCTCAGAGGCCCCATCAGCTCTGCTCCTTGTCCTTGACCAGCAAGACCGTGTGCTGGCCACCACTGGACACGGCCAGGACGGTGCGGTTCTCCAGCTGCCGGCCCGTCATCTCCACGGGGCTCCAGGCGTCCTCATCCTGCCCGGTGCCCAGCTGGTAGTTGGTGCCCATGCCCCAGGCAAAAACACGGCCTGCAAAGAAGAGAGCTCGGGCAGGTCTGCAGGCTCCAGGCCCCTCCGGGGAGTGAGAAGCTTGGGTCGTGGGGTGAACCTTGGCTGCAGAAGCCTGGCAAGGGCCCCCCGGAAGCCTGGGGAAGTTGGCAGAGACCAAGGAAGCACTATACCGTCCAGCGGGCACCTGGCTGCCCAACGCGACCTGAGTGGCAGCTGCTCACGTCCCCACTCACCAGGACCCTGACTCCTAGGCCTTCCTTCCTGGGAAGCGTCTAAGTACAATATCTTGGCGGGTACTAGGTGGGACGTAAGGGGGCCAGCGTGGCGGGGATGTAGAGGGAGCCAGGAAGGAGTCCCACATCCCAGGCTCGAGTCCCTGCCTTCCTGAGCTTCCTCACCTCAGCTCAATTTCTCCTCTCAGAACACACATATTTATTTTTTTTTAAAGACTTTTTGCTACAGTGCATTTGCGCTAACTAGAGAGACGAAAGCGAGAAGCCACTCTGCGGGGACAGCCCACCGCAGTCCCTCGCTCCCCGTTCTCTCAGGGCATGCTGCACATGTGCCTGGTGTGAGCTTTAAGCTGCCAGCTCCAGGACCCAAACTGCAGTGGATGCCGTGGGAGTCCAGCGACGTAACCACTGCACCCCCTGCTGGTCCCCACCTTGCCTTTACTAACGGAACCTGTGTCTGCCTTCGCTGCTCCTCAGAGCCAGCCCTCCCGGGTGCATCTAACACAAACACCAACCCCGCACCCACTCTGCCAGTGGGGCCTCCACAGCTTGCAGGGAGCTGGTACGAGTCACGGCCCCAGGCCCCAAGCAGCCCAAGTGGGTGGCCCACTCACCATCCTGGGTCACAGCGTACCCCACAGAAGCCCCGCAAGCCACCGAGGAGACGGTGGGCAGCCTGGGGG